GGTTTCGGGCAGAGGCAGATACTGGCCTCAGGTGAATCACCATCATAGGTGAATCACCATCACTATCCGTCATAGTTGTCAGGGTGCTCCCTGACATATCCCTCAAGTCCTTCCTGTCCTATCACTGGCTCTGGCTGGCTGTGGTGGGTTCTTGGCTGGCGAAGAACTTCAGTAATGCTTTTGTGGCTAGTGTTGATGTTGTCTTGATACACCTTGATGTCGCGGCTCCATAGCCTGCACCAGCGGGTATGGAAGACTTCATAAGCGGTCATCGTCATGGTTATTTGGAAGGAAGAGCTTTAATTTCTTAATTTCTCTGCACTTGATGGCACCCTTAACCAATACTATCGTTAACTTGTGTTCTTCAGGATTGACACACCACCTTCCTCTTCACTGATGTGATCATCTTCCAACATTTCGTCGGCAGTCATTTCAGGATCTCTGATCTGCCTCTAGGATATCGCCGTTGGTAGTCTCGGAGAAGCCTTCAGCTGTATCTTTGTGCATCTTCTCTTGCAAGGTCCAATGCCCACTGTCACAGGCCCAGACCTCACCAGTCACAGGTTGACTCCGCCTCTCACCTGATTTATACCATACAACACATGCATCCATGCGTGTCAATGGTCGTAGCTATAGACAGTTGATCCCTTGCTTCCACCAAGGGTCACAGCTTGTTTTAGCGTTAAATTCTACTTGGCTTTTGGCCGAACTTGATTCACCACCTCCTGTTCCTTGTCCTAAATGCGGCTTTGCTCTCGCTATCGGTGTCACAGATTCCGCCTTTCATCATGGTGCTGGTACAGTCGTTCAGAGCTTAAATTTCTTCTTTGCAGTATGCAGCTTTCACATTGCAGATGAACTCTGGTCCATGGGCTGGATTAATGGCGTAGTGTTGGGGAGGAAAGGAAGACCACTTTTACGTTGGGGTGATGATCCATAAGTAATTAGCGAGAGTGTCCTGGTGCGTTGTCCAAGGAGCAACAGAATGTTGAATGGAACATTCTGTTGCTGCGCCAGAACTATTCCGCGGGGAGCGAAACGGTCATCAAACCAGGAAGTGACAGAGCAAGAACATCCGCCTTCGTGCGGTCAGCCAGTGGACATTAATCTTGCTCATGTCCCCACGTTCTTGTAAGCGCGTCACGGCTTCTTCCGGGCTGTGTGAATCAGCAACTATAACTTGGGTTTACAGGTACGGAGGCATTGGTGGTAAGAAAGGGCGGTGATCGCTCATTCTACAACCAGGCCCCGTCTTGCTGGCGGGCCTTGGTCGCGAGGTCTTGGAAGGTAGCTTTTCCAAAAGGGCGGATTAAATCCATATTGACCACCTGATGGCTCGATGTGCCTTCCTGTACCCGTAAAGCGGGAGAAAATCTCTAGCCGCCACCACGGTCCTTTTCGTTCTTCACCTGTGTGTGTCTTGTTCCTCTTCTTAAACCTATGCAGCCAACCAGAGGAAGCATTGACGGGTTTGGGTTCTGCAATTCCCATCTTACGTGACACTGCTGCGTACAGTTCACGGGCGTACTCTTAAACAGATCGCGTGTCCACTGCCATGTTGCATCGCGCCTGACGATTCAAGTAACTCACCAGCAAATTTTCAACCTTTAGCAGCACCTTGTTCTTGCAACTGGCAATACTTGATCATTGAAGCACCTGCAGACTTTGTGATTCTCATGTGTTCTTTGATCTTGGCTGCATCCTTCTTAATAGTACAAATCATAGATTCGTTGACTCCATGCTGGCGCGCGAGATCAGCTTGTCGTGTTCCTTTCTCCAAATCTTGAATGATCTTGTATTTCACTTCGTATCTTAGGGAACGTCGTATCTTCTTTGGCTTAGGGCGGCTTGGTCCAGGTAAGGCAAGGTTTCTCTCTGGGCGCGGTGGTCCGGCGGAAGCCATTTTACAGAACAATGGATGCACGTTTACACGGTGTGGCCTGGAGGGATGAAACTGACGCGGCTAGGTCAAGCGTCTTCTTTCTTCCCTCCCTCCCACGGGTGGACACGTCATATTATTTTAAACCAATCACAGCTAGCAGCGGAGGGAGGTAAGGATGCAGGCCCAATCACAGTCCGATACGTCATATGACGTCACTGATAACGCAATAGAGACATGCACTGTGCAACCTTATCGCGCGGCTTGCCCAGCCGGGAGAAGGCGGGAGGGTCGAATCTAAAAATAGCGTCGCACCAGACACACTGCGCGTATATGGGTATATGCACTGCGGAAAGTGAAAGTCCGGTTCTGGCGAGGCACCGCGTAAATGAGAAATCGAGGAAAGTGAAACCGCTTAAAGCGGGGTAATACTGTATAACCGTTTTTTTCTATATTTGCAATTTCTTTCCGTTCTTTTTTCTTTTTCGCCCCCCAGGCTCCGTTGTGGGTCGTTTGACCTGTGCCCGGGTGGGCTAATTCCCGTTAAAAAAAAAAATACAATCTGAAGTCATGTAAGCGATGTCAGACAACTGAAGTAATATAAGCAATGTCATACAACTGAGATAATATATGCGATGTCATACAATCAAGACCACAGTGGTGTCACACACGAGTGGCGTTCCTCAAACGCGTGACGTGCACTACGCACGAGTGATGTCACACAAACACGACCACAGTGATGTCTTACACGAGCGATGATGTCGCACTAACACGCCCACAGTGATGTCATGCACGAGCGACGTCTTTTCTGAAATGGCTGACACTGGACCACGTTTCTACACATGTGTTATACACATATTCAACTGGTTTAACTATTGTTACACAGTACACATACTGTATACATACAGTATATACACACACACACACACACATATATACACATATACATATATATACTTATAACTTGAATGTTGTACACACACTTAACCCACAAATCCTTTTCATTTATGTATTTCTTCATGGTTCCTTATTATCATTGTTATTATTATTATTATTATAATAATAAATAACCTTAGAGTAATTCACCTTATTTGTTTGACTTAAATCTAAAATGTAACACCAACGTCTTATATAATTACCGTGAAAAATATACTAAGATTTATATACGTTCACTTAAGATGAAGACAAAAGTAAAAGTTAATGAATCTTATCAAAATTATGTATCTGTTAAGCGAACTTTTGGTGATTGTCTTCTGAGGTTAATTTTGCGATATGGTTGATATTTGATAGTGAGTTCTGCTATAACGCGTGTTTTGACAACACGAATTGGCTCTAACGCGATTTATGAATAGAGGAACGATAATTGTATAATGCGAACGCTTGTTTGCTGTAACGCGATTTTTACTTACTATTTCTCCAATTTTGTGGTATTAACTGTGAATATGGGAAAGAAGAATATCTCCAAGAAGCGTTTTGGTGATCGCATTCCCAGTGATGATCGTGAAAGAAAGGCTATACCCCTTGAAGAGAAGCTCGATGTTATCTACCTCAAAATCACCCTTCTCCCCCATCAAGTTATATTCATATTTTTTCAAGGTAAAGTGTTACATTTACTGTATGATTTCATTATTAGATATGAATGTAACATTTATTTAGACTGTGCTATCCTTTGTGTTAGGCTAACTACTATATTTTTTTCGATTTCAAGTAGTAATCTGCACCTAACCCTATTTTCTCCATAAGCCCTGTTATTTCTATTACGCGAATTTCTATAACACGATGTTTTACAAGAACACAACTATCGCGTTATAGCAGAACTGACTGTACTATGGTGTCACTGGTATAGGAGGATCAGCTGTTAGTTATAATCACTAGCGTGCGTGTCCGAGCGAACGCTAACTACCCGTCCGCCCAGACCAAACATTACGACACTGTCCGGGTGTTCTGAAACCTTCGCTCACTGGGTGCGCGGCCTCCCTGTTCGAAAGGAACGCTCACAGCCCCATACACGCAGACCGAAGCTTTACGTCACTGTCCGGGTATTTAAGACACTTCACTCAAACACGTAACACTCGCTATCACTGTTCCCCATGCTGACTACGCACCTGGGTGATCGACAACCTACTGTACGCTCTCCCATGCTGAACTCCGGCGTTGGTCCTCATCGTAGTTGAGAGTTCCCTTCGACAGTCCTCCCGTATACGTTTTGACTGTTAACGCTCATAGGAGCGTTATTGGTTTGTTGCTGGAGAAATAAACCCTCAACGTTGACTCCTACCATATAATTCGGTCAAAACCTGTTAAAGAACAATTCACATATAACAAATGCTGTTATCTCGGGACACATAGTATGAATAATACAATCTTAAATATAACTCTCATGTTACAACTGTTGATACATCAGGAGACAATTTGTATAATATGATTAAATTACAGTACATCAATATACTTATTAAGTTATTTAGAGTTTTTATCCAGAGGCTTTATTAGTTCACGATCACACTCACATTTTTAGGGTCTAGGGTTAGACCAGCGTGTTGTTTCTCCTGCAAAAATCGGTTGACTACCGTACTGTGAGAGCAATCGCAGCCTGAGGTTGCCTTAGGCGAGGGCCATCTGTTTCATATTAAACACGTCAACAAACACGTCAACTAACACTCTCTCTCTCTCTCTCTCTCTCTCTCTCTCTCTCTGGCGGTAACAAATATGACAGAATTGAAACAGATTAATTTTCCATCGCATCTGTGACTGGGATAGCATGTGCAAGAAGTGGTAGAGTGTTCATGTTCCAAAATTCATAATCCCAGACACTACTGTCTGGGTGGCTCTTATTGCATGCACAGTATCATGCTAGTATTCTCCTCTTTCACTTAATCCTTCATTAATTCTGCTGTATCTAGCTTCCTCCCAAACCCTCATATGTATTCCCTTATTTCTTTATAATGATGATGTTTATGCCATGGAATCCTTGTACATATTACATTGTTACAAATACTGTATGATATTATACCTGTAGGACCTCTGTCCAGTTTGAGATGTTATGGATATATCAGAAACTTTTTGTCACTTAAAATTGTGTTTACAACCAATTAAATCTTACTGGGTTCCTGTATTTTTTCAGAAATGTGGACCATCCAACACATTACGGTATATAATCCGTGACGTAAAAAAGAACATACCTCGTGATTACCGATATACCCTCATAGACATTGGCCTTGTTGTCAACAAATTAATGGGAGGTGCATACAGGTAGGTATTTCCTGGTAGATGTAAATGTTCCAATGCTGTAATGAATGCCTCATTGCAACAGTTTTTTAAGATTATTTGAATAGTTATTGAAAGATAATTCACTTTGATAGATAGTTCATTCATTTAACATCAACTGCTTAAAAAAGGACTAATGTGGAGGTTAAGGAATTGCCCCTTATGACCCAAAGAGATTGTTTGTCTTAACTTTCACACTTGACTCTAATTACTATGGTTGTTTCAATTGGCCCTTTTTCCAGTAGAACTTCGACCATATAATAGCTGTGGGTTATATTAGGAAGCCAAAGACTGTGTGTTATATTAGGAAGCCAAAGACTGTGGGTTATATTAGGAAGCCAAAAACTGTGGGTTATATTATAAAGCCAAAAACTGTGAGTTATATTAGGAAGCCAAAGACTGTGTGTTATATTAGGAAGCCAAAGACTGTGGGTTATATTATAAAGCCAAAAACTGTGAGTTATATTAGGAAGCCAAAGACTGTGGGCTATATTAGGAAGCCAAAGACTGTGGGTTATATTAGGAAGCCAAAGACTGTGGGTTATATTATAAAGCCAAAAACTGTGAGTTATATTAGGAAGCCAAAGACTGTGGGCTATATTAGGAAGCCAAAGACTGTGGGTTATATTAGGAAGCCAAAGACTGTGGGTTATATTATAAAGCCAAAAACTGTGAGTTATATTAGGAAGCCAAAGACTGTGGGCTATATTAGGAAGCCAAAGACTGTGTGTTATATTAGGAAGCCAAAGACTGTGGGCAATATTAGGAAGCCAAAGACTGTGGGGTTATAAGCATGAGAGATGGAGAGCACTGTAAACATGGTGAAGATGATGAGCTGTTCTCACTATGTAAACAAGGACCAGTATGGTAGTTTAATAAAATACAATGGACTCAATGGGGAGGAGGAGGGAGGAGGGAGGGAGGAGGAGGGAGGGAGGAGGGAGGAGGGGAGGGAGGAGGAGGGAAGGAGGGAGGGAGGAGGGGCGGAGGGAGGTGGAGGAGGGGGTGGGGCATTTTTACTTGTGTGAAAATATATGTATATTCCCTTTATGTGTTTGCCCTTAGGACAATTATTTCTTTTACCTGTATTGTAGATATGTGTGTGTGTGTGTGTGTGTAGGCCGGATTTGGTAAAACATTACTCTGACCACCTATGTGATACGGGTAGTCCCCATTAGAGGTTCACGGCGCCATAAGCTCGTTGAACAGGCTTTGTGTGAAATATAACAGAGTCTAGGACTGCTTTTAGTATCCTGGTGGTCCAGCAGTTAGCGTTACCCGGTCACAGTTATGGGCTCGTGGGCCGTGGGTTCGAATCCTGGCGGGTTGAGGTGTTGATTGTATGTAGAAGTCCGCGTGTTTATTGGGCTAATGAAATATATATGGATCCTCGTGTTTCGAAGCCGGATTTGGTAAAACGTTACTCTGACCACCTACGTGATACGGGTAGTCCCCATTAGAGGTTCACGGCCATAAGCTCGTTGAACAGGCTTTGTGTGAAATATAACAGAGTCTAGGATGCTTTTAGTATCCTGGTGGTCCCCGGTTAGCGTTCGGTCACAGTGGCGACTGGTGCGTGGGTTCGGGAATCCTGGTGGTTTGAGGTGTTGATTCTGTGTAAGTCCTTGTGTTTTATTATTGAATGAAAAAATATGCGAGTGGTTGCCTTTCTTAGCGGTCAATTGAACCAGAGGTTACGCGTTAAGTGGCTCACGTTATCACGTTAAGTGAATAACAGAACATATGGGATTAATTCCAATAGAACCCAGCCCAACCCCCAAACTCACTTTTGTGACAAATAACTATGTTGTAGTAAAAATAACATCTTAATTTTATGATGGTACATACAATTAATACTTAAAAGAAATACAGTCATGAGATTAATGTCCATTCAAATAATGGACTCCGCTCCCTCCCCTCTCACACTACAGTACCACGACCAGCTAACAGATGATCGGGTGCAGTCCCTCCCCACCCCCACCAAGCTTGCGTCCCAAGGAGATGTGGGATAACCTCAAACTAAAGAAGTTAAGGAAAATATAATTGACATTGCTGGATTCCTTTGCAGACCAGGAATATTTGAATATAAATGTCATATATTTTTTCACAAAAGATAACATACTTACTCAGATTAAACATTTTATCTAAAATTGTATGTTTAATGCAAAATATGTTGTTTATATTCAAATGATCGCAAATTATAAGAATTCCAGCAATGTAAATTATATTCTGGCCGGATAATTTGTATGAATTTTCTATGAGCTAAAACAAATATCTACAGTTAATAAAAAAAAAAATATATTCTTCAACTATCTGTCAATCAAGTACCCACCTTGCCTCCCCTCTTGTTAACCGGC